GCAAGTTCTGCGTGACAACAAGCTGCAAGTGCCGCGCCTGCGTCACAGTGACCGAGTGAAACCAGCCACAGTCGAGCGCGTCCCTGCAGTCTTGCCATACATGAAAGGAGTCACTGACAAGATTGGCTACATTCTAAAGCGAGCTTCAATTAAAACTTACTTCAAGCCGCCAAAGAAAATTAGTCAGTTCTTACCACCTGTCAAGTGCCACATCCCTCTACAAGATGCAGGAGTCTACAAGCTTGATTGTGATTGTGGGCTCTCTTACATTGGACAAACAAAACGATCCATTAGAACCCGGGTCAAAGAACACATAGCTGATGTGAAGCACCGTCGCAATACAACATCTGCTGTCTGCAAACATAGCCAGGACCGCCCAAGCCATTATATTCGTTTCGATAGACCTCAAATCCTGGCGAAAGAAAACCGATATCGCCCTAGAATGATTCGAGAAGCCATAGAAATTAAAAAACATCCAAATTTCAATAGGGAAGTAGGGTACTACCATCGTCATGGGATCCTGTTATTAATATAATAAAATCAAATAATAAATATAAACATAACAGACAGGCAGATGTAGTAAGTTCATACTGTGTAGATCAAAATGACAGCTTATCAGATTAATATTTTTCATTTGTAAAAGTATATTAATAGTGTTGCTTAGTAAGTTGTTTTTAAATAATAGCAAACTAAATTAAAATGATTATCCGTAATTAATTTTAACTTTTTAAATTACACATAGAACAATTATATGGCTTTAATAATTAATACTATATTTTTATATTTTTTATTTATGGTTATAAATATAATAATGGCAACACTAAATATAGATTACTAATTAATATTTTTAAAATTGTAATAATTATAAAAATAATAGCAAAAATTAAATAAATAATTTTCCATATTCAATTATAATTAAAATTATAAAAAATGTTTAAAGTTAAAAATATTGTAATGTAATTGGTGCAATTTTCATTTTGTTAATTGTGGGTAGGCTGTCTGTAACAACTATATCTTTAAGACATGTAACACCTCAGTCTCTCCCGTGACCATGGATGCTGTAAAGCATTCGAAACGTCGGGAACCAAAAATCAAAATAAATCCGCGAAATAATCCGAAAAGATAGTTTTATTTAAAAATGTCAAACATTCGCGTAAATCTAAGAAAGTATTATCAAATCTAATATATTTCGATACGTAAAATATGTATAAATATATATATTCATATCTTAAAACATTGTCGGCAATTTATTTAAAAAATATGTTTATTGTTGATTTTTTTTAAAAACCGCTCGACCGATTTCGATAAAATTTATATGGGACATGGGAAATATACCCTTTGAAACACAAAAAAAATCCAAATCGGTTCAGGCGTCTTCGAGTAATCGGTGAACATACATAAAAAAAGATTCCGACGAATTGAGAACCTCCTCCTTTTTGGAAGTCAGTTAAAAATATAGCTAGCCTTACCCTCGCTTCATTCAGCTGACTAGCCCCTAGCCTATGAGCTTATAATGTATTTATGTACTAAATTTCACCTAAATTCATCCTGTGATTTCACCGTGAAGGAGTAACAAACATAGTAGTACACGAGTAAGTACACAAAAAAAAATGCATTTTTAATATTCATCCGCGATAGTAGCTAGATGTAATTTTTCTTTATGTAGTTAAGAAAATTCGGGCCGTTTTCGTTACACATATGGTGCCTTTTTTATCAAATACAATAAATGAGTACTAATTTCTTTTCAAAAATCGTTCAAAAAGTATAACAATATTACAAAATCAAAGCATTGAAATACTTTTAATAGGTACAACATTTGTGTTATATTTCTAATATTTTGTATGAATATTTATATTAAAAAGATATTAATTGGAGTGTAATTTCAAAGTACAACCTGAAATTAGACGTATATAGATCATTGTTTTCACAACACTCTCTCGTATTTTCTTCTCACAATATCTTGGAATGATAGAGACTGACATTTACCAGTGCGAAGTATCACCGTTGTCACTATACGTAGCACATAAATAATCATGGTTGCTATACAAACAAAAGGCGTTTCAAGTCTAGTACTATCACGTAAGATTTCAGCCCTACGTATTCCCAGAACGGTATATTCTGACCTAGTCACAGGTAGATATACGTCTTTAGAGCAAGCGCATACTTTTGATGTAATTAATTTAAATTATAAATTAAGTTTACTTTTAGCATTTTAATTTTACATATCTAAAAAGTTATACTAAAAGTATCTATTTTTTATTGTTTCTTATCATAAAAACAAACTGATGTTATGAAGACCAAAGTTTTTGAGGCAGTGAGTGTGTATTAAGCCTTTAAATTGTAATAGCTTAAGGAATTTGAGTGATATTCAGAAAATAGATGGGTTATATTCTGTATATTCTATTTTTCATCAAAATACTTATCACGCAAGCAAAAACCCGGGCAATAATTTGTGATTTTTAAAGTATACCTAACTATATTTTATTACTAACTATTTGCATATCATCCGATTTTATATCTATCAGAGTACGTTGGCTGATTTAACTTTAATGACTGAAGCGATTGAATGGGATTTTTAAAGGCAAGTAGAGGTCTTAAAAATTGACAGATGCTACTTTTTATCTAGTACAAAGAAGCCCAATAAGACAAAATGGATAAATATAAATTCAAGCTTAATTGAAATATTAGAGATATCTTTTTTTCAATCTTGTTTATCTATGTTTTTTTATTAATATAATCTCAAAAAGACTTTAGTGTCTGTAAAGCTAATTATTAAATTCTATAATAATTACCACTAAGCATGCAACTATTATGATGTAATCAACCTTACCTAGCTAATTGTTATGTTTTTAAACATGACCTTGTCTCACGTCTGTGTAAACCCTTATTTTTCATATCTCTGCTTTCATGCCGCGTACCGGTGATTATTTTTAATTTCTACTGCTCCGTTGTCGGAAAGCATGTTGTACAAACCGTTTTGTGGGCTTTTTTAATGAACGCCGCCAAGTTACGACTTTGACGTTTGCTTTGACATTACGTTGGAGCTATCAACGAATATTACTGCCACTATGGCACTCAGTGTCAAATAAAAGTGTAATTATTATTTCTTTATTTACAATCCCGCCGACTGGACACCACTTGCACTTATTTTAATGCCCCTTTGGGAAACCGATCCAGGTTAAGGCTTTTATGGACGTGATACAACTACAATTGTTAGCTTATACGATATAATTGTGCAGCTTATAACACTTCTATGAAGCTTAAAAATGAAGCTTTGTGGCTTTTAATCGAAAACATTCATTTTTTCTTGCTAAATTAATAAGAATTTATTTTTATTAGTAAGATAACTTTTATTCTTACACTATGAAGAAAAATTAGTTCAATTCTCAGTTAATTTTAAATTAAAACGTTGGAAGCTGGCTTTGTTGTTGTTTATAACTTCCGTGATTCTTTTTGTCATAATTAAAATATAAAATATAAAAGTGTACTGCAGATTTAATCGATTTAGCATTATTTTCATAGCCATCAGCGTTCACAAAGTTTTTCTTAGAAATGTTATAGTCGTTTAAAATAAAAATTAGAAAAACTGTGTAGAGGTTGACGCTTTTCTGTGTAACCGAGTTTTCTATTTAGTGTCACTTGTCTCGCTTAGAATTTAAAGACTTCGCAAAGATAGCTCGAACTGAAATCTCAGTCTGTCGGCGTACAAAGATGTATCGACAATTGTAATAAATAAATTGTTTGAATATTTAAATAATATGGTATTGAAATGATTTAGGATAGTTTTTATAAAGATTTATTTTAATAATTATTATTTCTTATCTATACTATTATTATAAAGTGGCAGAGTTTATTTGTTTGTTTAAACGCGCTAATCACAGGAACTACTAATCCGATTTGAAAAATTCGTTTTGCATTAAATAGCCCATTTATTAAGGAAGGCTTGAGAAGGGCTATATATTATCCTGGAAAAATGTACGTTTCCCATGGGATAGATAGTTTTTTCTAGGGATAAATCCGAAGCGAAGCGAGGATGAGTCGTTAGTTTCATAATAATGAAATAATTATTTCTCTTTCGAGATTCTATTGATATTATACTTACATTATGAAGTTACTTTCTTGGAACATGAGAATAATGATAATGAATACTTGTCCTATAAAATATAGCAGTGGGATAGGTATGTTAGATTATCAAAAACTATCAAACTTTCAGAAATCTATGCCAAGACTATATTGTATTCTTCAATGTCTTAAAACTTTTATTGCAACATATGCAATAGTTATTCAGAACACAATCTCGACAGCATAGCTCTTCAGGAAACTAAAACGAAACCGCATACCGACCACTAAAACAATTTCAAAATGGAACAAGGGTGCCTCATACTTTGCATGAAAATACCGAGACGTCAACGTTTACAAATAAGTTCTTGCTCCCGTCGAGCCACTTTTTGTTTTCCTCTTTACCAAAAGTTATGACATAAATATGAAAACATTAAAATTGAATCGTAGCCAAATATGTTAGTTGTTGAGTAAATGCAAGCGGCCGAGTGGTCGGCGCATACCAATCAGCGAGCGGGCCGCCCCAATATGCAGCGAAGGCACCAGCTACGCCGTAGCTACCTACGCTACGCCTGACGTATGCTCCTCGTTACGTGTTCGAAATGACTGAGTCGACACTGAATTTTTAAAGCAACTTAAATTTTATTCATAAGTTATAATTTCGAAACGAGCCTATAGATTTAATTTTTTTACCAATTCATAATAAACAATGCAAAAATTAATTACTCTGTATCAACATTTCTAAAATTGCAGTAAAACGTACCATTTGTGTGTTTATTTATTCACGTTGAGTACAAAAGTTGATTGGAAAATTGTATAGTCCTTTTTAAAATAACTATCAAATTGTATAATTTTTATAAGGAAGTTATGATAAAATACAAAATATTTGATTTTATAAATCATAGTTCTATCATTAACCGACTTATAATATCGATAAATAAATGCTAATTGGAGGTAAGAGTTCGACAGCCGGTTCGAAAGAATATTTCAGAGCCGCCGCGGTGATAAATCAAACTCGAAACCGTAATGAAAGCGAACGGATCGCGTCGCGAGGAGCGGGAGGAAAAAATATCACGGAAAAATCAGGTGCGTCCCCCGGTCGGTGCCGAGAGAAAAACAGTCGGGCGTCGCGTTGGGCGGGGGGGCGGCGTGGGGTGGGGGTGGCGGTCGATGCGGGGCGGGCCGTGCGCGCGCTGGCTGGCGTGGGGCGCGTGGGGACTCTCCGCTCGCGCTCACTCGGCCGCGCCGCTCCTCTCGCGCCGACGCCGGCCGCGCCGCGCGTTCTCGTCACGTGTACGCCTCGACTTTACATGTCCAAAGTGCTCAAGTCAGTGCTCCCGATCGCAACCGCGCGAGTGCTCCTGCAGCCGATCTCCGAGCCGGACCCGAACCTCACGCCGCTCAGGGTTAGTAGCCGAGCGTCTTCGCGTCTGTGATTTGCTTCTTCCTTGTGATCGATTGCGCGTTGCGAAAAGTTTATTTCGGGAGCGTAAAGTTTGTCGAGTGAAGTGCGCGCCTCAAATGCACTTCGCGGGACCACGAGTGGCCGCCGTCGGCCGCGAGGCGCCGTCGTGTCGCTCTCCGTTCGCTTTCGACCCCCGATAAAAACAACAAACAGATTAATCGACCTAAACGTGCCAAAGATTTTGATGCGAGTTTCGCCTGTTTACGTTTCTTCAGTCGAAGGAATCGGCAAATAATTGCCGTTATGTTTTCTATTAATGTACGAAAAATTCGATAAGATAGAGTTACTGTTCTAATAACTAGAAATAAAATTGTAAGATTGCATGTAACGGTGATATTAGCTGTGAATGAAATTTACCTACGTTTTTCTAAAACACGTCGGTAGGGGTTTTGAGGAAATAAATTTGGGGGCAGCAACATTAATTGACACGTTTCCGTCAGTGAGCAAAATAAGGTTTTTCTTATAAAACACAATAATTTCAGTGGAAAATATATTTTTTCAATATTTTTGTATTTTTAAATACATATAAAAAAAGTATTAATAAATAGGTGTTTCATGAGATTTTTAAAATAACAGGTATGTACTTTAGTACTCATTAGCCATAAGCCTAGCAGAGAATTCGGTATGATTATGAATCAAAAAATACTACATACTCGTAAAATCTAATTTTATTGCAATTTAATGTAAATTTATAATTGCGAGATTTTAAAAATCACAATATATTTTTTTAAATTAAATTATTAATAACACCTGTAGCTGTTGCATTCATTTCTTGCGATCATACAACCACATTACTTAAATACGCGCCAAGAAATTTGTGCTACGAAAATATTTTTAGCCAAGTGTTATTCTTGATTTATCGTACAAGTGTTCGATTGATATTAATATATGTACAATCCATTTCTGCAATATTTCATCTCAAAGGAGTTCTTATGTACATATTGAATTAAAATTTTACGTATTAACTACAAAATCCTTATACTTTCTACTAGTAGTAGGATGAATATCGGCAATGATTTGTGTGTCAATTGCATTAAAAAATTGCGCTTAATTTGCAAATTTCAATATATAATCAGATCTTAACGCTCTATTTCATTTCAAGTCAATTTCCCATCAGTTTTCTAAATGGAAAACGTAATTCTAGTAACTATTCAAAAGAATCAGTTAAAAGTGAATACATCTGTTAATATATAATCCATATTATTGCTTTTAATATTTGTTTTGCGTGACTTCTCGTTAAATATCAATCAGATCATATACTATAAATTTTCCAACAGTCATTGTGTGCGTCAGACACAGGATTTCATGGATAATATTGTTCGAAACGTTTTTATTAAAAGGCGTGGATAAATCTCAAGTGGAAAACGCGATTGTGTATGCCATAGAATTTTTTGTTGTGCTTCGCATAAAGTTTATCTTTCGATATAAAAATTACTATAGCTATCGATTCGGTCAATTAAAAGCTCATAACAATAGTCAATTATAATGCTTGCAGGTATAATATTTATTTCTTAATAAAATAATAAACTTCAGATATATTTGAATGATGCTTTTAAAAAATTATAACCTAATGGAATCGCAGTATGAAATTATTTTTTTATAAAAATAAAAGTTTTCGATTGCCGCATCAAATGTTATCTCTGAATGTTTCCGAGACAATAATACTTTTGAACATTATATCTACAACAATGTTATATTTTTTCAATGCAAGTTAAAACCTTTTGAATTTTTATTTTACTTAAGCTTATAATACTACATTTACTTAGCCTTAATTATTTAGACCATTTTGATGAGCTGGTTTTTGTCTTATATATCATAATATGAAATTGCATGTTATTCTGGCTAACTCATAAACTCCAAGCATATTTCTAAATAAAATGAATATATGGTTTTTAATATTTAAACTGTAAAGGAGTATTTTTTTGAGCATTTGTACATGTTCATTCAGAAAACAATGTATTTCTCACAATTGAGACTCACACTCCGAAAAATTTCCAATCTAGTTTTCCTTTGGACAGATTAAAACTAATATCTTTTTAAACCTTCTATAGGAATAAAAAAAAACAAATGTATACTTAAAATAATAATGTCCAAGTATAAGTTTAGTTTGCAGTTAAAGCCGCGAGCTTTTTTATAAACTGAAAATCGGGATTATTCTTCTTTTTTTTACATATAAAATTAATAATTTCTATGAGTATACCATCTATATTTAATATATTTCTTAGAAAATGATAGTATCAAAGATGTTAAAACAATAATTTTCCACAATTAATGAAATTTTAATTTCAAATACATAGGCAAAATTGGAGCACATAGCTTATATTCAATAAATACCTATATCACTACTACTTTTATTGTAACCTCATATATTAAAACTACCGTTTCATAGAGTTCATAATCATTGCAACTAGAATAATAAAGGATGACAGAAATAAAAATTTCATAAGCATTATTTTATAAAGCTTAAAATCATCTAAGTGTCTTAAATATATTACAAATACTCTCAATAAAAAAATACTATAAAGCTTTGTGAGAGTAATGTTATATAAACAAATATGTGAAAAAGCGGTAGTAGTAGTCACTGGTATTTCTTTACAACTTTGTCCCATAGGATTCTAAGAAGACTTTATAAACTTGATTTTGACATTGAACAAAAGAATTTTACTTTGCTATACTATAATACATATTTTTTTACGTTTTCTAATGGATTTTTATTTTTGTATAATAAGAATTAAATTAACTTGCTTATGAAATAATATTATAAATTAAATAAACATCTTATAAATGAGTATTTTATACGTTGAATATAGTGTAATATAAGAAGTACAAACTTTTAAAATTTTTAGGTAGAAATTAATTAGTACTGTGTGAAATTTTTGTCATATTTTTACTAATTGGAAAATTTCCAATCTAGTGTTCACCTAGACAGATTAAAACCTTTAAAAATTATCTTTTTAAACCTTCTATAGGAATGAAAGAGTGAAAGTATACGTAAATTTAAAACGACGATGTCTAAGTAGCTAAGTAGCTTAAAGCCGCGAGCTTTTTATTAACTGAAAATCGGGACACGTGGATTAATCTTCTTTTTTTTCGCTTTATATATTAACTTTAACTTGTGTACAATAATAACTTCTGTAAATATATCATCTATGTATATTAAATGTTTCTATATTTTAGAAAACGATAACTCAAAGAATTTCAAAGGTTTTCTACTACAGGCGTCGTATCTAGCTATTGATTACGGTTTTGGTGATATTAAACGCTTATAGGCCATATATTCTCGGTAAATGGGATAGGATAGTTTAAAATCGCTACTTAATAGCTCCTAGAATTAAATCGATTAAATAATATATATATGTAGTAAAGTACTTATTCATTTCATTATCGAAATATTTACTATCAAGTTAATAATTACATAATTTCTCTAGGGAAAATCAGTTATCTACAAAAACCGTAGATTTATTTATATTATCGATACCTGGTAAAGTTGCGGAGAGTCTAACAGCAATACGATGTTTCTGTCCGAATGTTCTGTAGTAAGCAAACATGGCTAATGATCGAGTGGCGACAATGATGATAGATGAAACTTAAATATAATACGTAGTGAGATATGGATGTGATATATCATGCTATCATTCTATGATGACCCTTTATCCACTGCGTAAACTTTGTCTGATCTGTTATGTTTACAGTATCTCATATCATGGCAACCTTACAGGGTATGGAGTTTGAAAGTATGATAGTTATATTTAAAAGCAAACGTTGACAAAATAAACAAATATAAGCACTCGATATAACTAAATAAAAGCTTGTAAAACATTTTTTAAACAAGCTTTTTTGTAATATAAATCATGTAGTGTAATAAAATGATGGGTTTGATTTAATTTAAAGTTTATTTTGTTTTCTTTCTTCTCAGCAAACCCTTTTATTTGATATCCATACCATGGGAGTGCATTAAAAAATTTTCCGCCATCTTAAGGAGTCCGCCATATTGGATTTAGAATTACGCCATTTAACCTTACCTTGTCATCCAAACTAAACGTTTATGCAAAATTTGAGCTCAATCAGTTGAGGAATACTGCTTTAAAATTCAGTTGCAAGATTTGACCCGAACAAACGTAGATACAAATTTTACAAGTTTAAATAAAAGCTTGTAAAAATTATATAATAATTAACTCAGAAATTTTTACTTATATAATAAATTTGTATGTTTTTGGGTTATAAAGCAATAGATATCGTTATGATATTTTGCTTAAAATATAGTTTAGAGACCGAAGTGACGGGCTTACTTTTGTTCTAATATATCTGTATTAGAATACCCTGTAAAAGTTACTTCGAGAAGATTATATTGAAATGGATGGGAAGATGTGTGTTGAAAATTATGCGAACTCTAAATATCTTTGACTGACAATAATGGAAGATATATTAATTTCAGATGTATATTTGTTATATGTTAAGTATGCAATACTATAATAATAGGATATTACCTCAAGAACAGTTCTATACAAATTTCAAAAGAAAACTGAATTCTTAAGAGCTGAATAAAATTTGAAGTAGGCTTGGCTTACCTTTTAAAAAAAACAGTAATATATATCATTATTTATTTTAAGTGACTAAACTATTAATTCAAACAATACTCGAGCAAAAAGCCTTCGTAATATTTAACAAAATTAAATTCATTAAACAAAAACAAGCTAATAAATGTAAATATTGGTAGTGTTGGAAAAATATTTGCTTAAAATGAGCAATTTATTAACTTAAATTTTGATGATACAAAGTGTCTGATTTTAGTGCTTAAAGCTTAAAAATACTAACATAGCACTTTTTTATTTACGAGAAAATTGAATTATTGAAAATATTAATTCTCATATAAAAACGTAGTGTAGTTAATGGCTTGCTGAGTTTCAAATAGAAAAAAAATAACTTTAACAGCAACATTATAATTATTTCGAACCGTCCCTTTTAAACAATGCTCACAAGAGGAACATACGAATTGAAATAATGATAAAATAATACGCTGTCAAAGATAAGTTGATGGCATTTTACTAAACGGATCGTTTGAACGTGGTTTTAGTATTTGCTATCTAATTGACCGCTTGTATAATTGAATATAATACAAGACCTCCATCGCCTTAAG